GGGGGGGGGGGGGGGGGGGGGGGTGAATGGTGAGATCCCACATCGGTTAGGGAGTAGAACGAAGCATTCTTTATAAGGGTATGGAAACCTCTCTCTAATAGACGCGTTTTAGAAATCTTGAGAGGAAACCCGAAAGGGAAAGCCCAAAGAGAATAATATCTCATAGCGAGACTACTTGCTTTTTACAAAAACAAATAAGGGAGAAGAGAGAGAGAGATCACGTACCCATTCTAAATGTTGTGCGGTGACGCCCGACTCATTTCCAGAATATATTCCACCTAGGACCTAGCAAGTGCAAAAAACAAAGTTCGATACTCCACCTTTTATCGATGAAATTCTCAATATGATGAAAAACTTGGCGCCGCAGTTTCATGAGATCATATAAATAGATATACCTCTTGTGTTTGTAAAGCTTGAAATTATGATCAGTGTTGTTGTCTTTTCATCCAAATAGAGTTTAGAGGATTCAAAATTATGAGGAAAATTCATCTTCACCAGAATTCATTAAACTGATTACAAATAAGGAAGAATCTTACCTTGGATACTGTTTCAAGAAACATGCCTGGACGAACAGGAAGAGGCTTACGTCCAGACACACTTTCCTAGCATCCATGGGCAAAGAAAACAATAAAGCAAGTCAGACAATCCCATAAGAAATGTACATGTTCTGTAAAAGCATCCAAGGAGTGGACTTCAAACTCACCCTTCCTGCAATTCCCCTTGAAGCCCTTTGTCCACCGGCTCGTGTAGTATCTTCCTCATCATCACCTAAGTCGTCGGCCCCTTCGTCTTTTCCTAACATTACATTTTTTATCATCTCCTCTACAACATTCCCAGGTTTTAGAGCAACCAGTTTGGTCAAGAAATTCACCTGCACCAAAAGGTTTACACGGATGAACTAATCGGCAATGGGGGATGACAACAACAAATTGTTATATAAGCATTAGGAATGAGTATAACTGTGAGATCTCACATCGGTTGGGGAGGAGAACGAATCATTCTTTATAAGGGTGTGGAAACCTCTCCCCAGCAGATGCGTTTTAAAAGCCTTGAAGGGAAGCTTGAAAGAGAAAACACAGAGAGGACAATATTTGCTAGCGGTAGGCTTGGACTGATACAAATGGTATCAGAGTCATACACCGAGCGATGAGGAGGCTGAGCCTCGAAGGGGGGTGAACATGAGGTGGTGTGCCAGCAAGGACGCTGGGCCCCGAAAGGAGGTGGATTGGAGGGTCCCACATCGATTGGAGAATGGAACGAGTGCCAGCGAGGACGCTAGACTCCGAAGGGGGGTGGATTGTGAGATCCCACATCAGTTGGGGAGGAGAACGAAGCATTATTTATAAGGGTGTGAAAACCTCTCCCTAGCAAACACATTTTAAAATCCTTGAGGGGAAGCCCAAAGAGGACAATATCTATTAGCGGTGGACTTAGGCTATTACAAATGGTATCAGAGCCATACATTTGGCGATGTGCCAGTGAGGAGGTTGAGCCCCGAATGGGGGTGGACACGAGGCAATGTGCCAGCAAGGACGCTGGGCCTCGAAAGGGGGTGGATTGGGGGGTCCCACATCGATTGGAGAAGGAAACAAAAGCCAGCAAGGACGATGGACCCCGAAAGGGGGTGGATTGTGAGATCCCACATCAGTTGGGGATGAGAACGAAACATTGTTTATAAGGGTGTGGAAATCTATCCCTAGCAGACACGTTTCAAAAACCTTGAGGGGAAGCCCAAAAAGAATAATATCTGGTCGTGGTAGATTTGGGCCGTTACAGTAAACAAATAATCGACAACAGTGATTATGACCGTAAATCAGGGATATAATCACGGTGAACCAACAAGGATATTGCTGTATTTAGTAGACTGGAGTATCTCACCCAAAAAGGATTAAGAAAACCTCTGATCGGTTAACTAAGTTGATAAGAATCATAGGATAAGGACGTATGTAACCATCAGATCAAGTGATGTTATGTGAAGTTTCATAAAATGCATGCAATATTTCATACCTCTGATTCAGGAAGAGTACTTAGACCACGATCATTTCGTTCATCCAGGATTCCCCCTCCCATCATATTCCGAGCCTCTTCTCTAATCAGAACGAGCCTCGCAAGCAGTTTCCGATCAGGCACAACTGGCCGAGTTTCCATAGTCTAAATAATTTTGAACGAGAATAGTTTCATTAGAACACTACTTTCCAATATTTAAGGTCCATAATACTGCTTCTAATCAGTAAAGGTGGCATTCAAAACTTAAAAAGTGACCCAAAAAAATGTAGGCAAGATATAGTAACTAACAGAAGCATAGACACAGACATGGGACCCGGATATGATATTTCCCACATTCAAAAGATTGCTTTCAGTAATTACCTCAACCAAATCATCAGCTTGGTTGGCTATGTCGTTAAGATTTGCTCCCGGGATATGGACCTTGGTGCCATTCTTACTTGTAAACGCGCCACCCCCAGCAGCCACTCTACGAAGTAGTTCGTGTCTGCTTTCTTTCAATGGAGTCCGACAAAGTAGGCCGACCACTTGAACCTATAAATCAGAGAACAGTCAGTTAACTGTTTAGCTCATAATCTTTTCCGAAACATGATTTTGATGAAGCATGAATAGAATAGAACACGTTTTTCGACAAAAATGTTCTTACATGTGGCGGGCATTTTTTTGTGAGATGAGATAGAACTGTCTCCTTGACCACCTCCAATATTGCCTTGCGCTGAATAGAAACAATAGGGTAAAATACATTACTTAATGAATGAAAAAGAAAGAAATAAACAGATGAGTTCAAAACCTCCCACCCACAACAGGTCTCATCAGCTAAGCAGAGATGCAAGACGTGGAATTCGTTGTTACCTAAACCTCTCGAGGGTCTCCTTGTTAGGAATCACGGATCTCCACAATGGTATGATATTGTCCACTTTGAGCATAAGCTCTCATGGCTTTGTTTTGAGATTCTCCAAAAGGCCTCATACCAATGGAGATAGTATTCCTCACTTATAAACCCATGATTATTCACTAAATTAGCCAATGTGGGACTCACTCCCAACAATCCTCAACACTCCTTGCCAAAAATTTCTAGGAGCCAAAAATTTATAGGAGCAAGAATGTTTCCTCTTGGCTTACCATTAACAGGAATATAATACTTAATCATCCTAGTACAGGTCCACATCCAATATCTCTTCCATTTCCTTGTTACGTATCATCATCAGCCTCACGGTTTTAAAACGCGTCTATTAGGGAGAGGTTTCCACACCCTTATAAGGTGTGCTTTGTTCTCCTCTCCAACCGATGTGGGATCTCACAATCCACCCCGCTTGGAGACCTAGCGTCCTCGCTAACACACTGCCCAGTGTCTGGCTCTGATACCATTTGTAATAACTCAAGCCCACCGCTAGTAGATATTGTCTGTTTTAACCCATTCTATATCGCCGTCGCCTCACGGTTTTAAAACGTGTCTACCAGGGAGAGGTTTCCATACTCTTAATAAGGAATACTTTGTTTTTCTCGCCAACCAACATGAGAGCTCACAGTTAAAATATGAATAATATGAATAAAACTTGTTGTAGTCTATCCACTTAAGCTTCTGGGTTGAATAGTAGTCACCTCTATAATATTTCAACCTTTTTAAAGACAACTCATCAAGTGATTGAAAACTTGGCAATTTAAACCAAACTTAATTAGTTGTCCTTTCACTACCTACTTTTTTGCTCCTTATTTTCATTTTAATAGGAAGTTTTAAGCTTCGATACGCCAAAAAAGATAAATAAAGCTTCATATCAAGGCTAAGGAATGTAGAGAATTTAAGACGGAGTTGACCTTATCATCTTGGTCCCTTTCGGCAATCTGGATCATGTAGTCTAAGGCCATCATAAAGCCTGACTCCATCTCATCAACCCTTTTACCTATGACTCCTTGTGCGGCCAACTGCAAAGCTATCTCTTCAGATGCTTCATCAGTATTTGTATCTTCCAACTGAGACAACAATAACAAATCCAGACAGAGTAGAAAGTTAGTTGTTAGTAGTACCAAAATTTTAATAACTAGAATACAATAATGCACATTGATTTCTCAAGGAATTTTGAATTGATGGAAGTTTTTTTTATTGAATCTTGCTACTGGTTGCTTCGAGTTCAAATGGCATCACCTTGTCACCATGATTTTTTAATGAGCATGCCGTGTGTCTAGTACAGGGCCATGTAGGTGAAAGGCAAGCTCATGCTGTGCCTTGAAAACACCATACGCAAATGAATCATTAAAAAGAGCAAGGACAGAAGATGTGTGAGATCCCACATCAGTTGGAAATAGGAGCGAAGCATTCTTTATAAGGGTGTGAAATCCTCTCCCCACATCCTAGTGGACGTGCTTTAAAACCTTGAGGGGAAGCCCGAAAGGGAAAGCTCAAAGAGGACAATATCTGCTAGTGGTGGGCTTTGGCTGTTACAAATGGTATCAGAGACAGACACTAGGCGGTGTGCCAGTAAGGATGTTGGGCCCCCAAGGGGGTGGATTGTGAGATCCCATATCGATTGGAGAGGAGAACGAAACATTCCTTATAAGGGTATGGAGACCTCTCCCTAATAGACAGATTTTAAAACCTTGAGAGAAAGCCTAAATAGGACAATATCGGCTAGTAGTGGACGGTTACAAGATGCAAAGCCATGTCCAAGACCAATGACACCTAACATGTCTCTTTGAATGCAAATCCCAACCTAAGCATAGCTCAATTGGTTAGGTTGGAATTTCGAACCAAGCTGACCGTTCTTGATTGCTCCTCCAGCTTGAGCGGGAAGCTAAGGAGAAACAACTACCTAATACATTTATCTGTTACTCATCACTGGTACACTAACATAATAATTGATACATGTCGCTATTATACAATCTGTAAGCAATTCTTCTTCTCTTATTAACCCATCAGTCAGCTGAGTTTCAGCTCTACACTACTATATAAGCTTTCAATTCTCAGATCATTGCGTTAAATCCATCCAGAAACGTCTATAATCCGTTCAATTAAACCGGAAAGAGAAAAATCTGAACAAGTAAATAAGAAAGAACTTACGATGAGAATCATCTCTTCAAGAACAGAGGTGACTTGGTCGCCTCCTTTGAGGAGAGCTTCGTACTCGGAAGTGTCCATTTTCGGATTCCCTTCTTTTCTGGATCGTCTTCTATCTTGCATATCCAATTGCTCCTCTGGATAACCTCCACCGACTTCATAACTGGTACACGATGCTAATTGCTGCTTCCTCTTCGCTGGCTTCAAATGCGGAAAGTGGCTTGGATTGTCAATGAAAACCAACGAAGATGGTTTTGGAATCGTGGGTAGTCGGGCTGAGCACGGACACGTTGGGAACAGCCGGAGGCTGCTGTTCATCTTTGGAATCGGCTGCTTAGTTGGGTATCTGGGTGGGGTTTTGGATTGGTACCTTTGGGTTTAAGATATATCTAATTTTAACGAATTCAAGCTATAAAATTCATCCCACAAATGAAGACAGCCACAAATAATTAAATTCTTGTTTAAATGAGTGAACAATTTATGGGTATTAATTCAAACAAAATTTTCATATCTTTCATCTATAACTTAAATGGGTAATGAATTTTTTTTTTTTTTTTTTGAAAGATTATAGGTGTTTGGTGTAACAGCACCGGCTTACGGTTAGCAGATATTGTTTCTTTCAAGGTTTTAAAACGCGTATACTAGAAAAAGTTTTCCACATTCTTATAAGGAATGTTTCGTTCTTCTCTCCAGCTGACATGAGACCTCACAATCCACCCTCTTGGAGGCCCAGTGTTCTCGTTGGCACACCACTCACAGTGTCTCGTCTATGTTATAATGCTGGTCCCCAAAGAGGGATGGATTGTGAGATCCTACGTCCATTGGAAAGGGCAATGAAACATTCCTTACAAGAGCGTGGAAACTTCTCCCCAGTAAAAGCGTTTTTAACCGCGAGGATACGTATGGACAAAAACGGACCATGTGTGGTAGCGATGAGCTTAGGCTATTACAAATGATATCAAAGCCAGACAAGAGACGGTGTGTCAACGAGGATGTTGGCACCCAAGAAAGTGGACTGTGAGATCCTACATCGGTCGGAGAAGAGAACAAACGTTTTAAAACCCTAAACCTCTCTCCAGCAAACGCGTTTTAAAATCGTGAGGATACATAATGGACAAAAGCGAACAACATCTGCTAGTGATGAGCTTAGACGATTACAAATGGTATCAGAGCCAGACACAACGGTGTGTCATTGAGGATGTTGGCCCCCAAGAAAGTGGACTGTGAGATTCTACATCGTTCGAAGAAGAGAACGAACGTTTTAAAACCCTAAACCCTAAACCTTAAATCTCTCCCCCAATAAACACGTTTTAAAACCACGAGAATACGTAATGGACAAAAGCGGACAATATCTGCTAGCAATGAGCTTAAACTGTTAGAAATGGTATTAGAGACAGACACGAGAAAGTGGATTCTGAAATCCTACGTCGATCAGAGAAAAGAACTAAACATTTCTTATAAAAGTAGAAAACCTCTCAATAACATAAACATTTTAAAACTTAAAACCAAAGATAAAAGATATTTGGTCATAAATACTTTCATTATAAAGTTGACCTTGTGAGTTAGAACAGAAACCCCCATATAAAAAGTTGACCTCTCTGGAATGCGACAGTTTTAGAATTAAAGCACGAATTTCGAATAGCATTAATTGATGTTCCATCCCAACGATTACAGAAGGATCGGTTATTTGTGTTTGTTTCAATTCAACATCATCCTTCTCACGTTCTTGTTTGTTCGGGAATTTCCCTGCAGAAATTCGTCTAAATTCATCTGCGTTGTGCTCAGGATCATTCTCTTGGGCGCCATGAATATCTTTTCTAAGAAACCCAACGCCAAAGGTCGTCCCGAATGGCTGCCATCTTTTCTACTTCATCGATTTCGTTCACTTTGATGATTTGTTTATCTAAATTTGTAGCGGCAACTTGTTCGTCTGAGTTCCGCTTTCTGATTTTTGTATTTTTATTCTGCGAATTAAACTGGATTATGTTTGTTTCGTTCGTCTTGTGTTGTTCGTTGTGTGATTGGACTTGTTTTGATTTCAGAAGCTCTTCGGGAGAGTAAAAGGGAAATGACGCGCTCTACGAGAGGTATCTTATTGATGTTTCTTACCTGCACTTGATTAGGAAGGAATTCATCTGGTTTTATAGTCATGATCACCCTTTTGTTTCTTTAAATATGTTCATGTTTCTCATTATATTCGTGTATTTTACACTTCATTCGTTGTTCATCATGATGTTTCTTTCGGTCTGAATGGCTCAAAGAAGCATGGAACTATGATTACCCCCAACACCTTCCCTTAAAGAGAAAATGGGAAGAAATTTTGGGCTTGAACTTTGGATCATTTCTTCATGCTATACCATTCATGTTGTGGTTTGAATTTGTAGAAGATAGTACTAATGTTTTGGGATTCCTTTCTCTTCGGAGTTTAACCGTCTAAGCTCTCCACTAGCCAATATTGTCCTCTTTGGACTTTCCGTTCTAGGCTTTCCCTCAAGGTTTTAAAACGTGTCTGCTAGGGAGATGTTTCCATACCCTTATAAAGAATGCTTCGTTGTCCTCTCCAACCGATGTGAGATCTCACAATCCACCCCCCTTTGGCCTAACGTCTACGCTAGCACACCGCGACTCTGATATCATTTGTAACAGCCCAAGCCCACTGCTAGTAAATATTGTCCGCTTTGGCTTGTTACGCATCGCCGTCAGCCTCACGATTTTAAAATGCGTCTATTGGGGAGAGGTTTCCACACCCTTATAAGGAATTCTTCGTTGCCCTCTCCAACCGATGTGAGATCTCACAATCCACCTCCCTTTGGCCTAGCGTCCATGCTGACACACCGTTTGGTGTCTGGCTCTGATACCATTTGTGATAGCACCAAGTGGTTGCATCTTTTTGCTTATTTTTCTCACCTTTCTTTTTGCAGGTATAGAGAAGGAAATCGGAGCATTGCAATTAGAAGTACGTGAAGAGCGTTTAAAGATGGCTGTTCTCTAAATTTCCTGTGTTTTTACTATGATTTGACTTATTATCTTATCAGGAAAAGAAGCTTGTCGCAGAGATAAAGAGAACTGCCAAAACAGGAAATGAGGTACATTTCATATTCTGGACCAGATTGTATCAATCCTAGACTCTTTAAGCCTTGAAAATTCTACTTCTGAGATTTCTCCGAGTATTAATGTTTTTTAGCATCATTTATTCATTTCTTCAGGCAGCAACAAAGATCCTTGCTCGCCAGCTAGTTAGACTTAGACAGCAAATTGCAAACTTGCAAGGAAGTCGAGCTCAAATGAGAGGCATAGCAACTCATACACAGGTGAAGTCAAGTGCCTAATTCCTCTCTTTCTTATTTGGTTGAGTTGGTGCAACCAGATGTTTAGTTTTCTTGTGTGCATACATGAGATCTATAGACATCATTTTCACTCAAATGTTTAAGTATGTTATATTATTAACGGCACCTACCGACTTTTTGCAGGCAATGCATGCTCAAACCTCCGTTGCTGCTGGCTTGAAGAGTGCCGGTAAAGCAATGTCGGTTATGAATAAGGTATGAAAATTTGGATATTAAAAAAATCTTACATATGGTTGAGTAGCTGTATTCGTCACGCCAGGTAGAGGCAATAAAAGGGTGTTGTTTGGGTGAAGCAAATCTAGCATAACTAAGTTGAAAACAATTATATATAGCAGCAATTGTCTCATTTTTGGCTGTGCAACACTCCAGAAAATTTCAATTAGAAAAAAGAATGAAAATAAGACTGATCTGCAGAAAAAATTATATATAATTGTTACCATACTCATCTGCAGCAAATGGATCCCGCGAAGCAAGCAAAGGTCATTAGAGAATTTCAGAAGCAGTCCGCACAGATGGATATGACCGTAAGATCTTGCTCTAAGTAAATATATTTGTTCCACACACGTTTAGATAGGAAGAAAAGCATTTGAATTAGCAAGCTTTGTTTGTTTTGTGCTTTCTACATGGCATAGTGACCTACGACACCTCGCCCTTCCTGTTGGTATACTTTTTTTTTGGTTGAAATTAGCACGGCATGATGATAGCGCTATATTTGGCACATCAGACTTCCGAGGATGTTAATGAAAGAAACGATTTAATATTAGCATGAAATTTTGACTTCTGTTAAGGGGATAAGTTTTGACTCATAGTCATTGTTTGCAGGAAACTATGCCATACTCCTAATGCAATTAGAATCCATGTTATCAAAATTTTGAACTGTTGTGAAAATTTTGTTCTGCTTTGCCGTTTTATGTTTCATGTTTCTGGATCCTCACGTTATCTCATTCGCAGACGGAGATGATTTCAGATGCCATAGACGATGCCCTGGATGATGATTTAGCTGAAGAAGAAACTGAAGATCTAACGAATCAGGTAAGCTCCTACAGTTGCCATCATTTTCTCCTCTCTTTATTCCATGACTCGGGTGGAGCAGGAGGTGTAGAAAATAGTTCGCTCAAAATTGTTTCTTGGTAACAAGCTCCAATCAGCAGTACATAATTTGAAGCTCTGGCCCTTACCTTTTGGCTTTCTCTTGGTGATTGTGTGCATTGAATTTAAAGTCATAAGTTTGTGAGCAAGAGGTCAAAGTGCTTAGTTAAGAACTAAATGCAATAACACTACTTCCTCCTTCTGAACAGGTGCTCGATGAAATCGGCGTTGACGTTGCCTCACAGGTATGTTAAAATTGGTTTTGCATCTTTTTGAAGTCTTGTCGTCAACTGGATATTGAAACTGAACTGATTGGATCATGTGTATTTGATCCAGCTTTCATCAGCTCCGAAAGGAAGAATTGCGCCGAGGAATACCGAGGGTGTCAGCAGGTACGAAGTATTTCCCATTAACATTCTTCTTCTTGCATAAATCAAAAGAGAATTTATTTGTTATATCATATAAAATGATCATGGAAATGGTATAATCATAAGTTGTTCCTTTTGTTTTTATATCAAAAAGTTCTACTTTGTTGCTGATATTTTGCAGTTCGGGTGTTGACGAGCTCGAAAAGCGATTGGCTGCTCTTCGAAATCCCTGAGTATTATGATAAGTTCCCTTGATTTTCTATTGAGATATACATGATTTCGACTAGGATCATCTACTGTACATGGAAACTCTCTCTCCTTCTCATCTTCACAATTGAGCACAAATGTTTATTACCTTTTTGAGATGATGAAATCTTATCAAACCATTTGCTTGAAGCCTTCAGGATTTAAGTTGAAGGAAATGGAGACTATATCCTTATATGAAATGCCTCATGGTATAGGTTAAGCTATAAATTTAGAGTTTTTGAGCTTCTGGTATGAAATGACATACTTATTAGATCATTTTTTTTGGGCAGAATTGACATAGTATGACGAACAGTTCGTAGGTAACGATATATTTTGTCGATAATATGACAGAAACTAAATAAGAACACAATCCTAACATAATCCAAAACTGAAAGATACCGAAACTTTCTAAGTACGAAACTTTTAGCGTCTAATTTCTAAGCTTAGAAACCATTCAAGCAACTCCCACGTTGCAACGGGTCCAGGACGAAGCTGTATAGAGACTTGTATCTTTCCATCTAAGCTTTAGTGCCCCACCTTCCCCTTGTACAAGACTAAACCCTTGATTATTTGATTGCATATTCAACATCAACCAAGCTTGAGCCATGGAGTTTGCACTCATTGGAACTTCCATTAAACACTTTCTTAGTTCACTTCTCCATTCCTTAAGCTTCTCCTCTCCACTTCTTGATGACCCTCCAATTGCCAATATGTTATTGATCTCCCTATACAGAATGTTGTGCTCCACTTGATTTCTGTTACTGTCATTACTGCTCAAACAAGCTCCAAGAGAGTCGAAAATGGCAGAATAGTAATGCAAAGAGCTAACAAAGCGATCTAGATATGAACCTCCATGGCACATATCTTGCTCCACAAATGTGAAAACTTTGGGTCCTAGTTGTTGAATTAGTCCAAGGGTTTTCCAATCAGACCCGGTTGCATCATAAAGACAGTGTTGAACCCAGTTCACGACCACCATCTCTCCTTGTCGGAGTTTCACCATTGATATGTCGACTTTTCCAACCTTTGTAGCAATAGGGTTGTACTCGAAAGATAAGCCAAGTTGTCGAGCAATGTTTGAGAGTTGTTTTCCTGTGTCGAGGAGAAGCTCCATGGTGGTTCCCATGGCAGTGATCCTCACATGGCGAGAGCAGGAATCGTCCATTTTCGTGGTGAGAGCTTGAAAAAGTGGGGGCCATTGCATGCCTTGCATGATGTCAAGGTCTATGATATGAATTGGATCAACACATTGTGAGAGAGATTCAAGTATGGTTTGGTTTGAAGCCAAATGAGCAAACTTGATTAATGGTGAAACATTGTTGAAAATTTGGAAGGAATTGCTTATGCTTTTGTAGTCGAGTAAAGGAGAGCAGATTCCCAATATGGAGTTTATGACTCTGCTAGACATGGCAGCTGCAAAGTATGTAACCACACGCTCAGCGCTCGACTGCCCATAAGGTGACGCCATTTGAGTGAGTTCGAGAAGCATTCGGTGTGCCTCCACAAGATTGTCGACAGAGATCGCAACACTACACTCGAAGAGGAGGCTGATCAAAGTTAATCCATGATCATCAACATCTTTACTTCTCTCATTCCCTACATGAACTTGGAGCTCGTCACCATTCGTGGTATCATCGGTGCTAGACTCCAATAAGTCATTGACATGGTCAACCGAGTATGCAAACTCATTGCTGCTCTGCAAGTTGAAGGCTTGGTTATGAAAGATGGGAGTGTTGGAGGTTGAAGAAGAAGGGAGCTCAAAATCCCAAGGTTCATCGGGATCGGGTGGTTGAAGAAGGCAGCCATTATCAACCTCCGGTCGGCCGAGCTTCATCGGAAAAGCGAAAGACTGAGGGTAAGGGGAGAGGAAGAAAATATATGGGTGTGAGAGGTTGGTGATGAAAGAGCATGGGAGCCATTTTAATGGCAGACATAAGAGCTTAGTTTTCTGCATCTTCAGTTTTTTTTTAATTTTGTGATCGGACCTTAGGAAGATGGCCGGCAGAAACCAAGCCATAGAGAAGAAGTCAAGTGCTAAAAGCCAAATTTGTATGACATATGCTTGGTGGGAGATAGCATAACTCAAATAATCCAAAAAGTCATGATCCAGAGTATATATCAATAAATTGCTGGTAAATTGCTGTTACATTTCGCTACCGCACCACCGTCAAACACCCTCGGCTTTCGACTTCCACGCTCCAAGCATATGCCCATGTGCGGCGCATTGTGCTTGGAGTGTGAGCGTGGCGGACGACATAAGGTACCCTATGCACAATTCATGTAGACTAGTCACTCCTATATAGTACATTTTGAGGTATTTTTAGTCTGCTTTTCTGTACAGTCCATTAGCATATTTGAACTGAACTTATCGATATAGACATGCCACTCAAATGCTACTTAATACTCAATAGTGGCATGTCCAAATGAAAAACTCAATGGTGATGCTTAAAATCATTCACCAACAACGTGATTATGAATATGAATGTTATATTGGTGCTAATAAAAATAATATAAAGCCCTCTCAGCAAATAAATATTAGAATATAAAGGAATGATTGACTCTAAACTAAGGGATATGGCGACAAATGGCTTACACAATATTTTTCCTAATTAATTAACCAAGGGAAGTATATTGTACCATTATAATTACAAGGAATACTTCTGCAAGTATCTTCTAATTGCAAGGTATCATTCCATCAGAGATATGAATCCAGCATCAGTTCTTATGCATGGGATTGAAGAAGCTTGTCTACAACAGTGTAATGTACATTTGTTGGCATTCTACAGATTTCTACCAGTCAAATAATGCTTTCTATGATTCTCGATATTTGGTAAGGTCGAAGGTCAACGTTCTCGAGCAGCTGTAAAATACAAGTGCATTATTTGTAACGACGTTTTGGCTATGCTATCAGGAAACAAGAGATTAGGCTAAACGAACAAGAATGCAACAGATAATAGCCAAAATCTTGCATATTAAATCATTCAGATTCGTTTGTGTAAGAAATATGTTTTATGAGCTTACCTTCTCTCGCAATCCCGGTAAACCCCGACTAAAGCTTCGGCTTTGTCGTAAAAGCTATCCTTCAGTGATATAACAATACTTTGAAAACCACTACTTCCGTCGTCGTCCTGATTCATCCTGGCACCTTCACATGACTTCGATCGAATGAAACCAGCGACCTTCGCAACGTTCAAGTTATCTAAGGCAGCATCCACTTCATCCAAAATGAAAAAGGGCGAAGGCCTAAAACTGAAATACATTGGATAATGTAAACAGGCATCAGTTGACAAAATAAATTGTTGCACTTAACAAGTTTATTGGCTTCCCCGATCCAAAATTGTAATAATTCAAGCCCACCATATTGTCCTCTTTGGACTTTCCTTTTCAAACTTGTCCTCAAGATTTTTAAAACACGTTTGCTTGGGAGAGGTTTCCACACCCTTATAAAAAATGTTTCGTTCTCCTCCCAGCCGATGTGGGATCTCACAATCCACCCCCTTCGGGGCCCAGCATCCTTGTTGGCACTCATTTCCTTCTCCAATCGTGTGGGACCCCTCAATCCATCCCCTTTCGGGGCCCAGCATCCTTGCTTGTACACCGCCTCGTGTCCACCCCCCTTCAGGACTCAGCCTCCTCACTGATACATCGCCCAGTGTCTCGCTCTAATACTATTTGTAACAGTCTAAACCCACCGCTAGCAGATATTATCTTTTATGGGCTTTCCCTGTTGAGGTGGAAATCTCACAAAAATATTCTATAACAGAAGGTACTTGACACTGCAATGATGTAGTTTAATAAAATAATAACAACCATCTTACCCTATTGACTCAACCTGAGGGGGCAATGGTTGGGGAGTCAAGTTCAGTGGAAAATTTATGATCTATTAGAGAGACAAACTCATAAGCAACTGAAGGTTCATAAATCTTAAGATCAAGCATCAACAGCATCATACCTATGAATGGAAAAAAGCAAGGCTAGCGCTGCAACAGTCTTTTCTCCACCAGATAATTGTTCCATATCGCGAAACCGCTTCGTTGGAGGCATAGCAGTATACTTGATGCCATGTAAAAATGGTTCATCCTCATTTTCCAAGTTCAAATATGCCGTTCCACCCAAGGGATGTGTATTACTTTTTGTCAATTGCTTATAAATCTTATCAATGTTTCCAGAAATATGGTTGAAAGCATCCATAAACAATTCGTACCTGCAGTTGTCAACACTAACTCAGCAAATACACACAAACTGCAAATTCATTCAGGTAGAACATGTTGGCAACTAAATAACCTACATTGGAGATACAAGTACAAAAGCAGTATCCACATGTCTCAGAATAAATAAATGAGAATACCAACATAACAATGTATAACATAAGGCTATGAAGCATTGACGCCCAGCCAACATATGGAATGGTGTTGACACGACAAGAACGAAAGAACATGATCATAAATAATCCAAGTGTGTTCTTGAATTAGATTGGGTTGAAAGATGTAACTCATTAGCTAATCTTTCAACCCAACTATGCATACTTCGTTCGAATTAGTTTGCGTTCGAGTGATAATGTCTTTTTAAGACCCCTAGTGAGTGTTACATTTACATACACATTTCATATTATAATTTTAGACGCATTCGAATATGCTTCTCGACGTTAACTAATAGATCAAATGAAAGGGCCTTTCAAACATAAAGATGCACTTAAAAAGAATCACCTTTTTTGCTTAATAGAGCTGAATTTATCAGCCACCTCTTTCTCCTCCTTCCTAGCTGCTTCAAACTCCTCAGATATTAGTCTTTCCTTTTCCTTCAAAGCCTCATACTGATCTAGTGCTTTCAAATTTGGTGCAGTTCTTTCAATTTCAGATATCAAGCCATCTATCTTACGTTTAAACTCCATCTCAAGTTTCTCTCTATCAGATGATCTCTTCTCCTGTTGATAGGATCTATTGAGGTGGCTAAAATCAAAAACAGGGCCAGGCGTCAAGGATTCAGTCTCCATGGGATCTGAGATAGTGGGGAGAGCTATATTTTCCAATTCACATTTTTCCACTATTTCCTGCTTCTGTGTGATCAGCTGTTCAATGTTGCTCTCCTGGAAGAAAAAATATGGTGGATATCCATCATGGTTTACTATGCTTATATAAAGAATTAAGAGCAAAGAAGCACAAAAAATCCAAATAAGAGAGCAAGGACATATTTATTATATATACT